ACCCCGTTTTCCTATCGATAGATAGTTCTTTATTTGGGATGCAGGATACCGTTTCCAGCTCCATTCTCAGGGGTGGGGGGGGGGCGGGAGAGAGAGACTTTTGGCTTCATGCAAGGAAAGCAGCAGAAGCAGCAGAAGTATTTCTTTCTCTCTCCCAAACTTGTGTTCCCACACAGCCTGGATTAATTGCTTTCCTTTGGGGGTGACATTTCTCTGCGGATGACCAAAATTTTCTCACGAACCACCAGTGGTCCCTGGCCCACTGGTTGGCAACCAATGATATATAGAACCAAAATTTGGATTCAATGAGGTGCTTTAATATGGAAGCAAATAAAAAAGATATGAGACCATCTGAACTTGGCAGAATAATAGGAAAAATTGTGAGGAGTCAGTTTTAAAAAGGAATGTAATCTTTGGAGATCATGTCTTTTTGCTTTATAGCAAAGCTAGGATGATAAACTGATGCTAAGACAGGAGGAAAAACAATTTGTGCTTCAAAAATTCAGAACAAAAAACAAAAACTGCAGTAGTATTGTGATACATTTAGGATGAAGTAGAAAAAGGGTATTGATAGTCTGATTTACTGGAGTGAAAAGAAATTTCTAGGACATTCTTTAGTACTTCCTAATTTGATTCAGAGTCCTACAAAGGATAGGAAAGATAAATAAATGTTGGTATTCCAAACATAATAAGTGATGATGATTGTTCAGATGATGGTCTGACTTCTAATATATCTTGAAGAAAAGAAGGTTGCAGGACTGAAGCATTTTTATAGCAATCCTGTGAAATAACCATTTCACATGGATTATCTAGCAAAGTGAAGATTTTGTAGCCCAGCAAACATTTAGCTATATTGGGAATTCCCTGACCACAACTTTCTTTACTCTAAGAAATGGTGGGGAAAAATAATAAGAATGAGATTGATCTCTCTGCATTCCTTTGGGGATTTTTTTTTTTTAGTATTCATCAAACTTTCATTTCTGCTGCTTTTTCCATCTTCAGTCAAGATATCAGGTGAATGCCTACAGGAAAATATAGGGGGCCCTCCATGTGGACCAAGAGTTAGCATAAGAGAGCTCCACTGTTTATTCTGAAAATTGGTTTATATTAAGCAAACAAAAACAATACATATTTTTTCTTATTGTGGCAATGGTCACTATGCAGACCACATGTACTTCTAATAGTAGGCTTGTAGCAGGATTTCTTGAGAAAAGAGGCCATTGAATTAGTCAGCAGACTGAGGTAAAAGTAAATGTTTTGATAGGGTAAGATTTAAGTGACAGCACTGTGAGCTTTGTCTCCCTCCCTCCCTCCTTCTCTCTCTCTCTCTCTCTCTCTGTGTGTGTATATGTATGAAAGAGAGAAAGATACTGAGATACATCCAGATGATTCTGCATTGCTTTTCTGTGTCTTTTAACATGTCACATTTCATTTTATGATTTGTCTTACTAAACGGAGGCTCATGGAATCTGTTTGAGGGGCCAGGTTTACTACTTCTTTTCATATATGAATACTGCAGTACAAAAATCATAAAGGTTCTACTTCATTCTTTATGTCTGTCTAAACCCTTTTTTGTTTTCAGTTTTCTAAAAGGCATGTACAAAAATGAAACAAAGTATTTGCACTGAAGAGATATTGCTTCAATTGATAGTTTACAATCAGAAAGACATGGAAGTGATTTCAAACTACATCTTCATTCAAATTTCTGAACAACCATGAATGTCTAATGACACCACATATGTGCCCAATTAAACATATGATTATGAGTGATTATGTGTATCAAATGATTATGTCTTTTTAATGAAATATAAATTTGTGCCTTCTTAAAAGCAATCCTTATTCTGTTTTGACTTTTTTCTTCCAGGCTTAAAATCTTTTTCTATGCATATGAAGCAAAGCTTATTTAAAAATAACTTGAATACCTATAGCTTTATGTCTGTTTCCTAAATGGTAACTCGTACTGTATTCAGTGAGACCTGCTCATAAAAGAGCACATTTAGGATTGTGATCTTTTTTTCATCATTGTTATTTTCAATTGTATTGTTTTATATAAGAGACTGATCTTGATTTTAAATTTGTCTTTTTATAGTAAATATTTGTGAATATTTTATGTTAGTAATTTTATTAGTTTTCACTTTTTATAAATCATACTCAGGTAATTGTACCAAAAATAATAAGACATAAACCTCAGGAATTCAACTTTTCAAGTTAAAAGTAAAAAAAAAAACCTATGAAAATTTGATAAGCAATCATAAAAATATAAACAATATAAATGAATATACATTTGAACAATACAATAATTGTATAGTCCAAACAGGAAAGTTTACTGGAGCAAGCTCAGGAAAAATAAAACCCTCTGTATTTGATTTTTGAACTTCTGATTTATCCCACAATTTTATTCCAGATATCCAGTACAAAAGTAGTACAAAACTGATGCAATTATTATTAACTATGAACAAGATTGGTAAGAAAGCACAAACAGAATTGACATGGACTTAAGCAACTTCAAGACCTTGGTGATGATGGGGATAACAGATTTTGAAGCACAGTATTCAACCATGCAGGTTTTAAATTTCCCACAAGGTGGCAGAGGCAGCTTATGAGAACTTTTGGAAGTGAAATGTTTCATGATTCTGAAAATCTATACAGTTCTTTGAGAAGAAAGCTAAAGCAATGGTACAAGAATTCCACTGATTCTTATCAGAAAAACTTCAGATTTGCATAAACATCTCGGTAAACCCTTAAGAAAAAAGTTTATAATCTTTTGAAACAAAAAAATATTGAACACAAATTAGAGGATTGTTTTGGTTGATCTCTGCTGTTATTACTATTACTATTGTTATATTTCTTTCACTACTGGAAAACAAAAAATTGTGTTTGAAGTCCAAGAGGCTCCTATTTGCCCCTGTAAACCAAACGATTGAATCAGAAAGTAAAAGCCTGATGGCTAATTTCATTCTTGGTTTTCATCATCTTAAAACGATCAAACTTCATTTCCCCACTTTCCTAAAGTTTAAAATAAATCTGGACGTATACTTGAAAGGGAAGCAAATTAACAATAAGAAATTATTTGAATATTATATTTAAAAAGATGTTTGCTCATGGTTGGTGTTGAGGGATGGTGACCAAGCAATAGATCATGAAGTCTTGAAGGGTTTCCTGAACAATTTCCCTGGATTTGACAATTTAAGAAAAATCTGTGTACTGATCTGGAAAGTATTCAAATTGCCAAACTGCTTTTGTGTAGAAAATAGGATAGATTTTTGAAAACTAGCATCCATATCATTCTAATAATTCTCTTCTTGTTCATATTTCCATATTTTTGACATTATTATTTCAAACATAGAAATAATTACATTATGTGTTATGATGGAGTCTTAAAAGAAGCGTAAAATCTGGTGCAATTTTCCTCCCATCTAAAAGGATGAAATCTATTTTGAGTCTGGAGTGTCATGTGGAATATATTTTTAAAAATATTTTTTCAAAACACTTTGAAGAATTTGAAATAAATATAACTTCAATAAGCCGGACTGGGTTTATGAACTTAACAGACTAGGTTATGAATTTTTTACCTTGCTTTGCCTGCCAATATTGGAGCTCGGTAAGGCATTCTTTCCCCGACGAACTTGTTTGTTTGCCAAAGCCAGTTCAGCACCACTGTGCTTGGACAGTTCCACCAGGGAAGAAATTGTTCTCCTATCTTGTGTATTCATAAATGCACCTTCTGGCTCGAAACTGTCCATTGCCATTCCTAATTAGAAATTTCCTAAGAATCTACAGCTTCAAACAGTTTTCTGCAAACTAATAGTATTGAGTATAGTAATGACAAGGGCAATAATCCTTTTTACAGTATTTAACTGAACCAACAAACAGTTTCCAAGATGTTTTGATTCTGTAATCAAGAATACAGTATTTAGGAATTGGGGCAGGTCTTCAGTTTAAAAGGGGAAAAAAGCTGGGAGGATATGTTTTCGAAATTTTATTTGAAATAAGAAGTTTGGGAGCAAGAGAATTTCTTTAAAAAATATTTATTTTATTTAGAAAATTTATAGGGCCGCCCTCTCGTTCTCAGCGACTCTAGGTGGCTTACAGGCAGTAAAAACACAGTCTAAAAATAAATAAAAATTGTAATATATAATTCAAAGTAATGAAATTCAGAAGAAAAGTAAAATTTGAAAAAGGCATTTCACTGAAACTTTAATTTGAAAAGGCTACGGAAGGGGTCGGGGGGGTGGTGGAGGAAGTGTAACTTAAAGCAAGTACTTATGAGAAGCTTATGACTCCCGTTGGCATCATCGTGGACATAGAGTTGTTATGTCCCTTGGGGAATTGGAGTGGTGACGTCTTTTCTGATACCGATTATTACGTGACTGCAACAACAAAAATGAAAAGTCATCGGCAGATAAAAATCCGAATGCCACATCAACAGCGAAGGAAAATAAGCTAGACACTCGGCAAGACAACACGAGAGAGAGAGAGAGAGAGAGAGAGACAGAGACAGAGACAGAGGCAGACAGAGACAGAGAGGTTCCTGTGTGCAACCGAGAGCTGTCGATCAGAAAGCCAAGTGTGCAAAAGACCTGATAGCTGAGAAGGCGGGTGGATGTCAGCGGCAAACAGCGGAAGGCTCCTCAACTTGGAAGACACAGAAAAGAAGAGCGGTGAAAATATCAACGAACGTCAGAAGCAGCACGGCGAAGATAGAAGCTCTGAAACCTCGGAAGAACACAGCTAGCTCTCTCACCTGCTGCTACTCTGATCGGCTGGGCTCTTCCCACCTAAAGAGCTCGCTCTTCTTCTATTTCCCTTGCTCTCTGTGTCTCTACACTCCCTGGCAGGCTCTACTTTCTGCAAACTTTTTGTTTTTGTTTTTGTAATTTGAGCGGATTTCCTCTCCCCACTCCCCTTATAAGTTAGGCAGACAACCAGTCGCTCTGCTGTCTTTCCCACACGCCCCCTCCCTTTCTGCGGTTTCCCTTTTGCCCATCAGAGGACGGAAGGCAGCGAAGTAGAGAGAGGCAGCGATGCTTCAAGCGGATTAACTCTAGCCGCCGAAACTTCAGAGGAAAGCCTTTGGGCTCCAGACTCAGTCTCGTTCTCACTCTCTCGAGTTGAATGGTAAGTTACCCGAAATCAGGTGCGCTGGACGATCCTTGTCATCCTGCCAGCCGAAGAGTAAGGGAGTTGTAGTGCAGACAGCTCTGGAGGGCGCCAGGTTGGGGACAGCTAAGCAGGATGAATGGCTCGTAAATCAGGAAGGAAGGGGGAAGGAACGGGGGGGGGAAGGGGGGAGGGGAAAGGCGCAATCCCAAAGGCAGCTTTCTCTGCTCCTGATGGGCCAATCTTACGGAGCCTCTTTCTTAGCGGGGACCAGGGGCCCCAGAAGAGCCCAACTGTGACAGCCTCTTTCCTTCCTTCCTTCCTTCCTTCCTTCCTTCCTTCCTTCCTTCCTTC